TAATAAATGAATTAGGCTATACTTTTATTGTTATTGCAAATATGGGGGGAAATAACCACAGGCTTGTGAGCCGGAGGACGAATTCCTCCTGTGAAAAGTTACCAACTTTAAGTTATATGCAATTAAAAGCCTCAAGTTGCTTTTCTAAAGGTTAACATTCTTTACATGTGCCATTTCAGAAAACATTGAATGTTATTTTTGTATAACATGCCAGGCGCCTGAGGTGAAGTGAGTTAGAGTACTAGAATTAAACCTGTGCCAACGATTGTTTTCCCGCGATTCTTGTATTTTGGTTAACACAGTCTGTCAACATTTGTTTCTATTTTGAATGAAGTGTCCTTGATGTTTTACGATCTCGTCAGCTTCTGGACTAAATTTTGACTTGTTAAGGTAGCTCAATGTTTTCTGCCAATTGCTGCCGCTAAAGTATCATGGAAATATATATATTATTTTGGTGTGAGCAGTATGAGTGGATTAATTAGCTGAGGGCTTATGATTCGCGTTGTGATAGTAAGGTAGTTTTGTAAAAATGTAAGATGTTATTGTACCCTATGTATTGTCGGCGTCCGCTATTCTCCGCAGCACATGTCATGAACATATCTGTGCAGTATAACGTACAATACCGTACCGGGTGTTTCTCCGCCCGTACCAGCACGTGCAGAGAAACACCCTTACTACTAGGGGGCTGGTTCGCCCCGCCCAACATATGTTGGTAAACCCCGGTATACATATCTGATATTTGTGAAAAAAATCCAAACGTATAATTGTACAAATTGCCATTTGTTTTACTCTAAAGTAAACTTCCTCCGTTGCCTTAATCGAATGTAGATACATACTCCACATTTTGTAATGTTGCGTTTCCATTGTAACTTCTGCAACTTTGCTCAAAGTGTATGTTGTTGCGTAAATATATTGTTGTTGTTTTTCAATGATGCATTTTTTATGTCCTACGACTTTGAAAGTGAAAGAGCCTTTCGAAACTCGGATACTCTCTCTTTCATTCCTCCTCTGCCCTGCCGCTGTCCTGCTCTCCCGATCTCTTTTCGGGACCGGACCTCCTCTGTCACGGACAGTCTGCACTCAGATGCGGCAGCCCCTTACGACAATAACCGTGGCAGGAGTGAATCGGTATACTTGCGCTGCACGCGAGATTTGTTATACTGGACGTTCTCTGCCTCCCCCCCCCCCTCTTTCCTCTCCGCCTGCCTGCCAAAGCCCGAGGCAGGATCTTAGAGTGTCCAGGCGAAGGGGCTAGCTATTGAGTTTTGCTGGAGAGGATTCGCTTGCGGGTATCTATAGTATGTGGTGGGACGTAACTCACTCAAGTTCACAGAAAAGTGCTCCATTTATAGCCTTAGAAATATCGCTTCGACTTTGTTTGCGAAAGTAGTCATGCGCGTATACCACCAGGTAGCTAACTCTCACACATAGTGCTTAGGGATTTTAAAAAATTGCGTAGTTGTGTAGAATTTTTATTTACGCAACCTATGAGTAGTTCTTAACGCACATTATATCACTTGTACATGCGGAGCTAGTGTACAAAACAACCTGCATTACTCTGGATGAATCTGTGCACGCGCTACTGTGCACGATTTTAATTATTTATTATAGTACTACACAAATCTCTGTAATTAGGCTTTAAGTACCTGTATTTGGGCACGAAATCGTGCACATGTTGCATATGCAATGATTCCTGCTCAATTCAGGCACACAATTCTCCGTAGGATTTTGAGGTGCACGCCGCGCACTTTCGTAGTGATACTGTACCGAATGCATGTTTGCAGGCTGATTGCCTCCCTGAGGGGACAAGGGGCACGTGGGCTAGACACGTACTTTCACGTGACTACAACTCTGTAATGAAGGATGTAAAATGTAGTCAGGGAAACGTCTCGATGTTAACAAGAATAATGTAGGCACAGTGTGCACATCATGCATGCTGTATATTTTTAGTGATAGTGATGCATGCTATTGGGTTTTTAGTGCAGCGAGGATGTGTTTCCTGAACACATCTCGATCAAAGTTATTTGAACTTAGGCTAGGTAAAACTTGTAACTTCTCAGATACAAATTAATTTGCATCCGATATATCCGAGATATGCATAAGAACATATCTTCGCTGGGTACACAATTGTCCTTTCCCATCTAGAGCGTACGTTGATAAAGAAATTGTAATGTTATATGTCTAGTGAAACTCTTTGGGTGCAAGTATTTGGTGCAACTAATTGGAATGTGGTGAGTACGTCGCACTATAAAACATTAAACGGTAATTTGGATGTCATGGCATCGGTCTTGCTTTATTAATGCTTTGTTACTAATTGACTAATGCTATTTCACAGACAAGGCGCTTTGGCAGGTGTGCTGTCGTTGGGTCCCTTTCGTTGTCGTTGTGGTGTGGCGAGGCAGGGCAGTGTGGAGAAGGTTGCTGGTGGGGTCACCACGCTGCCCTGCCCTGTTGGTCGTCGAGTGCTGGTCTCGTCTCGGTCGCTCCCGGGTCCGCTGCTGACGGGGCAGGTGTTCGCCACTGGAGCCGCGGTCCCGGTGGCGGCCGTCACGTCGGGCGTTGGCGTTGGCCGTTGACGCTGGCCTAGTACCGGTAGCCGCCGTTGCCGCCCGGGCCGCCGCTGGGGTAGCCGCCAAAGCCACCGTTGCCGCCACCGCCGTAGCCGCCGCCGCCGCCGGGCCTGGCGGTGCCCTGGTACGACACCTGCGGACGGTAGCCGTTAGCGTCGGCGACGTACTGGACGGTCTGCATGCGGCCGTCGGGCAGCAGGACGTGGTAGCTGCCCTGGGCGACGTCGCCGTCCCGGCTCTCCTGGTGGCCGAACTGGGTGCCGTACTCGGGGGCGTCCACCTCGTACATGAAGTCGTATTTGGCCGGCTCCTGTGAGACAGAAATCGGTAGGATGACACTCGGGGATTCTGATCCCAACTGCTGCTGGCCTGGCTCAGACCGCGACGTGTTTTTTTTTCTACTGGAGGTCAATGAGACTCCTCTGCCGTTGTGGCCGTCGCTTCACTTACCGACTGGTCGTCGTAGCCGCCGCCGCCACCGCTGGGCGCTCCATAGGACGAGGACGGCGCCCCGTAGCTGGACGACGGCCGGTTGGCGCCGCCCCCAAACCCGCCCCTCGCCGGGGGCAGGTAGCTGGACGGCGGCTCGGCGCACAGCGGCGCGACCAGGGCGGCCAGCGCCAAGCAAACAAGGGACATCTGCAAAGTTAGTGTTGCATCTTTACAATAATGTGCGATTTTTTTTTTTTGCGAACGTACATTAGAGTTTGCTTTTCGGTTTTGGTTTCTTTTCGCAATAACTTTTTGTTTTCACCATCACTTTTCTAATATTAATGTACTGTGAAATTTCTAACACCTTCATAATTTTGAAAATTTGAAGAATATGCCTTACCTTCAGAAAAGTTGTTTGTTTTTTTGAGGTCTATATGTGCGATTCACACATCTCATTGCATGTTTCGCCTTATGTTTGCGGTACGAGTATGGTGAACACCCGGTGCTTACCTGTGTGGGCGCCATGCTGGGATAGGACTTGAGACCTGAGACGGCTGCTGGGGCCGAATGACTCCCCATCCGACAGCAGGCGCTTTTATATCAGGCTGCCTCAGCCTCCATCCCCTCTGCCGAGGCAACCGGGGGGCGGGGAG